TGCTGAAGGTGGAAGTGCCTGTAGAAAATATAATCTTGGAATTTGTTATCGCGATGGAATTGGAACCATGAAAAATGAGGAGAAAGCAAGATATTGGTTATATTTATCATGACGATTGTTTGTATTTTTAATAGAATTTTTCTAATCGTTACTAAAGATATAATTTTCTTGAGTTTATTGGTCGTAGTCTATTTCAGTGAATTGTACTGTAGTCATATAATCAGTATTGTTCCCGGTTAAGGTATCTGGATTTATGAGGAAAAATTTAGCAATTATGCATTATTTATAAATGTGCTATGCTATAAATGAATACTGTTGAGGGAAAATTGATTTTTTTTTTTTCGTCAGTAATAGTTTATGGTAATAGTCGACGTCTTAGTTATTTTAGTTATTTATTTTGCTACTTGTGGTTTTTGGCAAATTCTCGGAAGCTCGGGTAAGGCAGGAAGGCGGTTCCTTTGTCATCCTTCTTGAATTAGAATCGGTGGGGAATCAAATACCAGGTTGGGATAACTTTTGAAATAAGATACACTGACTGCGCGGATAGCGAACCCTAGGCTGTGTTTCTCCAAGTTCTTTTATGTGGATAGTACTGCCGGCAGCTTTACAACTTTTCGGATGTCTCCACTCTCATCTGCTGGCCTTTTATCTGTTCCAGTGCTTAATAGAAGCCATGCCTAGTACTTTTGTAGTTAAATGATATCACCTATAACATAGCTGATCTCCATGCTAAGATATACCAATCTGACCTTTTCTGTGTAAAACCTCTAAAAGTAAGTTATTTCGAAATATTAGCATATAAAGTCGTGACGTAGAAACAGACTCGCTGATATCGTATACTGACTAATACAGAATGTGCGTAATTATGCATGTATAGTGGCGCAGTATTACTGTATATCCTACACATGAAGATCGTTATTCCCATTCTTGACTAATAATCGTACCATTTATGAAAAATAGCAAAAACATTTTCAAATGTCTTTATCAAGAAATTTGCAATCAAATAGTGATTGGATTAAAGGACTCGGAGACTCTATAAACGAACTGGCATTAACAAAGTTCAAATATAGCGATCTCGAGAATGTTGAAACTATGGGAAAGAGTAGCTTGGGAAAAGTATATAAAGGTTTTTTTAAAGAATATTAAAAAAATAGTAACAATTAAAGAAATAAAAATTTTTGATGAAACGTCGGCAAATATATTTCTTAATGAGGTACAGATGTAGTTGTAATTACATGTATGATAAATAATGTCTAACATAAAATATTCCGTATAGCTTAAGTTGTATCAAGATGTTAACTTTGATGATAACATTTTACGACTTTGTGGAATTTCTAAGAGAGGTAATATGCGTATGATGATTAACTGTGTACGTAAGATACCGTGACTAATACAATATAGACAATACCCAGATCCTCAAAAAAACGAATATCTTATGATTATTGAATATTCAGATGGAACTTTACGACAATATCTTGAAGAGAACTTTCAATTATTAAATTGGAATAGCAAATTACGTATGGCTAAACAAATCACAAGAGTGGTTTTATATTTACACGAAAAAGACACTATTCATGAGGATTTGGTTGGTAATAAATTCAAAGTTTATATTTTTATAGCATATTTTCAAATTCTTCCATCTGCTTTGTTTTTAGCATCCAAGTAATATTCATATTCGGGATGGAAACGTGATTTGGGACTGTCTAAGAAATTAATGGATGCATCGAATACTCAAATTGCCAATGCAATTGTTGAAGTTATACCATATATTGATCCACAATGTTTTAAGGAAATAAATAAAGGAGCTTATTATAAAAGAACCAAGAAATCAGATATTTACAGCTTAGGCGGTTTATTCTGGGAGCTTACAAGTGGATATCTACCTTTTAGTTCGAATGGATACAATGTATCGTTAATCCATCAAATCTCAGAGGGTCTTAGAGAAACGAGCATGATAGGAACGCCTCAAGGATACATCGATATTTATAATGTATGTTAATCTTATTTTATATTGTTTTACAAAAAATAAAAAAAATATGTTTAATTTAATTATCCTCGAGATACAAGTTGACAATTGATAGTTAAATCTCATATTGTAAATTTACTAAGTAATAAAAAACATCATGGATTCAATTTACAATCAGAAATAATAAAAAACGAAAATTCAATTAAAACTTTACGATTTATAAAAAAAAAAGTTAATTATAATTAACTTACTATCTATAAAAATTCACGATTAATAAACTAAACCACGTGATTTTACAAAACCTGCAACGAAAACATTCTGAATTTTCCCCTACAATAGTAATGAATAAGAAAACAATAATCTTATTTCATATACAGTAATTTGATAAAACAAATAAAAATATATTGGATTTAACTTACTATCTGCAATATAAAGGAATAAGTGTACTATTAAATCCTATTGCAAATAGATTATAAATATTCTGGGTCAAACTTACTCACTACGATATAAAGTTTGATGATTAATACAATAAAATATTATCTCAAATGATTAAGAAACAAGATGATTGAAATATTTAAACTTACAATCTACAATGGTAAAGAATAATAATACGATTAAATACCATTATATACAACGGAAATACAAAAATATCCTGGACTCAGCTTACATCTTCATAATTAATAGCAATAATAATTAATCTTATTTATATAAATCACACACTCTATCTTGAATTTAACTTACGATCTACAACAGTTGATAATAACATAATTAAGATTCAATTATAATTGACGAAACAAAAACGAAAATATTCTGCGTTAAACCTACAATCTGCAATAGTAAATAATAAGAATAACATTTATGTGATTGCGAAACAGATAACAAAAATATCTTTGATTTAATCTACTCCTAAAAAAGGTGATTGATAGTTAAATCTCATTTATATGATTCTGCAAAACAAATAATAAATATCCCGAGTTCAGCTTACAATATACGATAATAAAAAATAAGAATACATTTAGATCTTAATTCTTATGAATTTTTTTAAAAAAAAAATAGTAAAAATATCTTGAATTCAACTTACTCACCATAAAAGTTGATGATTAATAAAACTTAAATATAGATTTTTCGAAACAAATAACAAAAATATAATGGATCTAACTTACAATATACAACGTTAAAGAACGAGAATATAATTAAATCTTATTTAATATAATTTATAAATTTATAAACAAATAACAAAAATACATTGAACATAACTTACCCTCTATAAAAGTTGATTAATCGTTAAATATTATTTCTATTATTTTGCGAAAGAAAACAAAATATTTTTGATTCAACTGACTATCTAATATTAAAAAAAAAATCAAAATTATAATTAAATCTCATTCTATATGATTTACAAAACAATAACAAAAATAACCTGGACCTAACTTACTGTCTTACAATTAAATCTAATTCCATGATTTAATAACCAAATAGCAAAAACAACCTAAATATAATTTACAATCTACAATGGAAAAGAAGAATAATAATACAATTAGAATTTCATGATTTTACGAAGCAAATAACAAAATATTCAGGATTCAACTTATAATCTACGATAATGAAGGTAAGAATAAAATTAATCTTATTTGTATGCTTTACGAAAAAAACAAAAATACTTTCAATTTAACTTACCCCCTATAAAAATTAATGATCAATGAATTTAAATTTCCTTTTATTATTTTGCGAGATATATAAACATCTGGATTCGACTTACAATCTACAATAATAAAAAATGGAATATTATTAGATCTCAATTCTTATTATTTTACAAATAAATAACAAATATCACTTACCCTCTGTAAAGTTGACGGTTAATATAATTAAATTTAATTTCCTATGGTTTTACGAAGCATATAAAAATATCAGGGTCTACTTACTCCCTATAAAAGTTGAAGGTTGATGCAGTTTCATATTATTTTTACGAACAAAAACGAAAATATCCTGGATTCAACTTACACCTTATAAAAATTGATGATTAATACAATTAAATCTCATAATTTACAAACAAGTGTAGACCTACAAGTATTATATTTACGATTAGTATTAGATAAAAAAACATTACATTAATAATCTTAATAACTTATGTGACTTTTAAACGACTAACCTTTTGCTGCTTCTATAAATCTTTTCGCATCTTCTGAAAGCATAGTGCAACGTTATAATAAAAATATGGTTGCTTTTCATAAATATTTCAAACCGTGTTAGTGTCAGATGTGTGACGTGTATCTCATTACATAATCACAGCATCTCGGTAAAAAATTTAATTTGTTTACTATTTAAATAAGTTCAAAATTTATTTTCTAAAGTTTTATTTAAGATATTACAAAAAATAATAACTATATTTAAAAATTAGTTATATCCGGATTTAAAAATTTGTTTGTATATTCGGATTTAAATTATATATATCCAGATTTAACTATTTTATAACGGATTTAAAAAAGTATATATAATTATATATCCAGATTAAAAACAATACTTATAAAGATATCCAATTATATATCTGGATCCAAGCTATATAGTAAATAAATGCATGATTGTCCAAAAGATTATTACTGTCTACTGTATATAGTAGCCATCATAAAAAACATACAATGTATTTATACTAATTTAAATGGTTATTATTTTTACAATAATATTATTGATGATAATAATTAAATATATAATAATTATATTTGCTTAATAATAATCAAAAATTATTATTTTAAGAATAATGATGCATTGTTTTTTTATTTTTTAAATATAATATCATATATACATATATTGCTATTTACTTTTTTTTTCAAATCTCAAACATGATTAACAAAAAATAAATTTTTGTAATTATATTTTTTTTCACAAATTATAAAAAATGCTACAATTATTTATATAATAAAAAGCTCAAATGATAACTTTAATTAAAAAAGAATGTTTACTACAAGCAATTGAAAATTATTCTATTTTCAAATAAAAGATGAATAATAATTAATTTGATAAAATTAATAAGTTAAAGATTTATTTGAGGTTTAAATAATTTGGTTAGAAATCTTTGTTGAGAATTAAATATTATAAGTTTAAAGCTTGTTATAATATGCTAATAATTAAAATATATTTAATTAAATTAAATAATATCTGGTTTTATTTTAATTAATTCTTATATAAATTCAAAATTTTTATTTATGTTTAAATATAATGCTTATTATATAAAATTTTTGATATGACTAACATAATTAATAAAAAGCAAAAAAAAATCATTACAATATAACTATTTTAAACTCTTATTAATAAATATACGGTATTATATGAAAATTAAAAAAAAAAATTTATAAATTTAATCTAAATTTAAAAGAGTTGATTTTTTTATTTGTTCTATTTTATTTAGTTGATAATAACCTGCGCCTTTGACAATCTTTTGTTTTGTAATTTTATGCCTAAAGAAAAATCTTATAATACGTAAATTCCAAATGCTTTTTATATTTTGATAGCAAAATGAAGAGATATTAATTGCATCATTGAACTATTCTGGATTGTCTTATTTGTCACTTTATTTTTTGTATTTAAAGTAAACTAATTGATATTGTTCCCTATTTCTTAATTAAATTGCTTTATTGATCTTTTCATTTTATTACAATTATTTTATATATTTTAAAATTATTTACAAAAAAGAGCATATATAAAAAAGGAATTTATTATCATTGTTAACAAACGATTAATAGATAATATAAAAAATACAAACAACATCATAATAATAAAAATGCATGCATGCATTTTGGTATCTACATTCTAGATCTTTCAAGTCAATATTTTGCTTTCTCCTCATTTTTCATGGTTCCAATTCCATCGCGATAACAAAGTCGAAGATGATATATTCCTTCGACATTCCCTCCTTTAGCAGATCTCAGGTACCATTGAAATGCTTTCTTATGATCTTCTGTAGTTCCAAATCCATATTGATAACACTCTCCAAGATTATTTTGTCCCCAAAGATGTCCACATTCAGCAGATTTCAAGTACCAATAAAATGCTTTCTTTTTGTCTTGAATAGTTCCGGCTCCAATTTGATAGCAATATCCAAGGTTACATTTTCCAGCGGCATTTCCACCTTCAGCAGATTTTAGGTACCACTGAAATGCCTTTTTGTAGTCTCGAGTCGTTCCAATTCCATCGCGATAGAAATATCCAAGGTTATTTTGTCCATGGATATTTCCGCCTTCAGCAGATTTCAAGTACCACTGGAAAGCCTTTTCTTTGTCTTTTATTGTTCCAATTCCAAGTTCACAAAGAATTCCAAGAGCCATTGCATATTGAGGGGTTTCTTCGCAATTTATCAGTAAATTAAAAATCTGTTTTGAAGACGTATGACTTCCCTCAATGAATGTGTTAATGTAAGTCTTTAACTCTTTTCTATTATTATTAAGTCCTTTACTTATTCGGTCAATAATAAGTTGATATAGTTCATACAACGTACTAAGTTCAAATTTCTCAATATTGCTCGTTATATTAAGATTTTTAATATTATTAATAAGATCTTCGCTTTTATTAAATTCAAGTTCCTCCGGAGCTTTTAAAGTATCCGACTTAATTGTCATATCTAATGAGTCTAGTTGTTTTTTAACCTCAATTATTCCGGGCCTCTTGTCTGGATTTTTATTCCAACATGCTAATAAAGTCAAAAAAAATCAAACATATAAGCAATACTGTAATCATTAATGAGATACAATAATTATTTGTTTATTATATTATAAACTAACCTTTATAAATATCGATGTATCCTTGAGGCGTTCCTATCATGCTCGTTTCTCTAAGACCCTCTGAAATTTGATGGATTAACGATACATTGTATCCATTCGAACTAAAAGGTAGATATCCACTTGTAAGCTCCCAGAACAAAACGCCTAAGCTGTAAATATCTGATTTCTTGGTTTTTTTATAATAAGCTCCTTTATTTATTTCCTTAAGACATTGTGGATCAATATATGGTATAACTTCAACAATTGTATTGGCAATTTGAGTATTCGATGCGTCCATTAATTTCTTAGACAGTCCCAAATCAGCGAGTTTTACGTTTCCATCCCGAATATGAATATTGCTTGGATGCTAAAAACAAAGCAGATGGGAGAATTTGAAAATATGCTATAAAAATATAAACTTTGAATTTATTACCAACCAAATCCTCATGAATAATGTCTTTTTCGTGTAAATATAAAACAGCTCTTGTGATTTGTTTAGCCATACGTAATTTGCTGTTCCAATTTAATAATTGAAAGTTCTCTTCAAGATATTGTCGTAAAGTTCCATCTGAATATTCAATAATCATAAGATATTCGTTTTTTTGAGGATCTGGGTATTGTCTATATTGTATTAGTCACGGTATCTTACGTACACAGTTAATCATCATACGCATATTACCTCTCTTAGAAATTCCACAAAGTCGTAAAATGTTATCATCAAAGTTAACATCTTGATACAACTTAAGCTATACGGAATATTTTATGTTAGACATTATTTATCATGCATGTAATTACAACTACATCTGTACCTCATTAAGAAATACATTTGCCGACGTTTCATCAAAAATTTTTATTTCTTTAATTGTTACTATTTTTTTAATATTCTTTAAAAAACCTTTATATACTTTTCCCAAGCTACTCCTTCCCATAGTTTCAACATTCTCGAGATCGCTATATTTGAACTTTGTTAATGCCAGTTCGTTTATAGAGTCTTCGAGTCCTTTAATCCAATCACTATTTGATTGCAAATTTCTTGATAAAGACATTTGAAAATGTTTTTGCAATTTTTCATAAATGGTACGATTATTAGTCAAAAATGGGAATAACGATCTTCATGTGATTAGGATATACAGTAATACTGCGCAACTATGCATGCATAATTACGCACATTCTGTATTACAGTATACGATATCAGCGATTCTGTCGCTACGTCACGACTTTATTAACCTACTTTTAGAGGTTTTACACAGAAAAGGTCAGATTGGTATATCATAGCATGGAGGGCCAGCTATGTTATAGGTGATAGCATTTAACTACAAAAGTACTAAGCATGGCTTCTATTAAGCACTGGAACAGATACAAAACCAGCAGAGGAGAGTGGAGACATCCGAAAAGTTGTAAAGCTGACGGCAGTACTATCCACATAAAAGAACTTGTAGAAACACAGCCTAGGGTTCGCTATCCGCGCAGTCAGTGTATCTTATTTCAAAAGTTATCCCAACCTGGTAATTGATTCCCCACCGATTCTAATTCAAGAAGGATGACAAAGGAACCGCCTTCTTGCCTTACCCGAGCTTCCGAGAATTTGCCAAAAACCACAAGTAGCAAAAGAAATAATTAAAATAACGAAGACGTCGACTATTACCATAAACTATTACTGACGAAAAAAAAAATCAAATTTCCCTCAACAGTATTCATTTATAGCATAGCATATTTATAAATAATGCATAATTGCTAAATTTTTTCCTCATAAATCCAGATACCTTAACCGGGAATAATACTGATTATATGACTACAGTACAATTCACTGAAATAAACTACGACCAATAAACTCAAGAAAATTATATCTTTAGTAACGATTAAAAAAATTCTATTAAAAATACAAACAATCGTCATGATAAATATAACCAATATCTTGCTTTCTCCCCATTTTTCATGGTTCCAATTCCATCGCGATAACAAATTCCAAGATTATATTTTCTACAGGCACTTCCACCTTCAGCA